TTTTGGTTAATCTGAAAATTTAATTGTTATTAATAATCTAAGAAGTCGTGTACACATGCACTACTACAGATTTTGCCTTCTATCCTTTGTAATACCTCTAGAACACAGGTATATCTTGCATCAAGCAAAATGTTTATATTGGGCAGTTTAGATTACATGTAATAGGGGCACTTTTGTATATGTTATAAAGGCCAGAAGCTCTCCCATTCAATGCCTAATATCATCTTGATTACAGGTTCGTCTGGATTTTAATGTCAAACACATACTTCTATAGAAGAAGAAATTAATGTGGTGAGGTTGTTTTTTTATAAAAAACCGACATTGCAGATATGGTGCTCTGATTGAGAGAAATGTTTGATTGTGCTTTCAGTTTTCTATACTTTTTATGTTATTGTTATTGATTTTAGGTTATTTTATTGTTGGTTATTGATGCAGGTGATATGAATAACATAGCTAGAGTATGAAATTCAATTGTGGACCATTGGCTGACAATTTGAAGTTCTTCAACATGTTTGTCTATGGCATATCCATAAGGTAATTACTGAATCTCATACCCATAATTCATAATCCATACTATGTCTAGCAAATTTTAACTTCCTCATGAAAGAATGTGTGGTTTTCCCCATAATTCTTATATACGGAGTTATTAGATACTATTTGTGTGTGTCCTCATGAAATTAAGGTAGTTTGGTTATGCTTTTTTTTTTTTAAATGAATTCTGCTAAAATAATTTTGATAATTATTGTTCTCTGATTATTTAAGAAGCAATTTTACCCCCCTCCCCCCACCAACCCATTTGTATTGAAATGTTTTTCGCGTTGTTGTATCTTGTCTGGTCCACACTTTCAATCATATTTTGACCCCATTAAAATGCCTAATAGCTTAAGCACCTAGTTATGAATTTTGTTTGTTGGAAATAATAGCATTGTACTTATTTTCAATAAAAATTATGTTACTTTTTCTTATTTAAGCGTTGCACTTTTAATATAGCATCATACTTTATATTTTAGTTCTTATTTTCAAAAAAAATTATGTTATTTTATTATTTAAGTATTGTACTTTCAAATATAACATCAAACTTTAATTTTTAATTCATATTTAAAAAAATATATGTTTTTTTTTCTTATTAAACCATTGTACTTTCAAAGTGTTAAATAAGAAAATAAAACAAAAAATTAAAAAAATTAAGATTTAGAAATGAATGTTAAATATATTATTAGACAAACCAAAAAAAAGTAGATTTTACAAATTAACATTTAAAATTATAACAAATTCCTAATTCGTTTTAATGATATTGGACCATTTTATCCCTCATACATCATTTATGATTTTGGATCATTTTACCCCTCCTCCCCACATTTTTATTGAAATGCTTATATGTTGTCAAAGAAAATATGAATCAGAAAAATAATATATATATGTTTTGAAAATATGATGCTATATTTGAAAGTACAATGCCTAAATAGTTAATTGTTTTACCTTAGTAAAGATATAATGAAATTAAACTTACAAAAAAACTTAAATTTCTATAACAGAATAAGGATTTCCTTAAATTATGATCCCTCTTAGGTGTTCTATCATACACCTGTAAGACATAGTCAAACATTAAACTTGAAAACATCATCAAAGCATCAAAACCCCCAAAGAGTAAATTTATCTAGAAGAAATTGAACCAAAATCAAATAATCGAGTAAGGAATTTAAAACAGATGAAGATTCAGATTCATTACCTTAACCAACAACTTGTAAAAAGCAAAATATATGTATCATTTATTTACAATTATAAAAAATTACTAAAATGATTTTGGACCATTTTACCCCCGCTGCATCATTTTTGATTTTGGACCATTTTACCCCCCCCCCCCCCCCACCCCCATTGTATTGAAATGTTTTCGTGTTGTTGTATCTTGTCTAATCCACACTTTCAATCAGATTTTGAACCAATTAAAATGCTTAATAGATTAAGCACTTAGTCATGAAAGTTGTTTGTTGGAAATAATAGCATTGTACTTATTTTCAATAAAAATTATGTTATTTTTTCTTATTTAACCATTGTACTTTCAAATATAGCATCATACTTTAATTTTTAATTCATATTTAAAAAAATATATGTTTTTTTTCTTATTAAACCATTGTACTTTCAAAGTATAATGGTTAAATAAGAAAATAATACAACAAATTAAAAAAATGAAGATTTAGAAATAAATGTTAAATATATTATTAGACAAACAAAAAAAAGTAGATTTTACAAATCACTATTTAAAATTATAACAGATTCCTAATTCGTTTTAATGATTTTGGACCATTTTACCCCTCATACATCATTTATGATTTTGGACCATTTTACCCCTTCTCTCCCCATTTTTATTGAAATGCTTATATGTTGCCAAAGAAAATATGAATAAGAAAAAAACATATTTTTTTTTGAAAATATGATGCTATATATGAAAGTACAATGCTTAAAAATTGAATTGTTTTACCTTTATTTAAAATACAAATGTGATACATTGATTTATAAAAGTACTTGCATATCTAATAAAAGTAGCTTTGCAGGTTTTGTTAGCATAACTCGTGTTTTCATTGACACTAATTTGTTCACTCCTTCATGCTAATCATTTGTTTTTTTTTTTAATTATTTATAATATTTGAGTGCAAAATTATTGTTGAACTTGCAATTTCATGTGAGAAACCAGGTTTACGAGTGTTTGAAGGATTCACAATGAGTTTTCATCCAAGATCATGGAAAATTGTGAGAATTTATATTATATTTTATAAATCATGATTAATTTGAAGTTATGTTGTGAGAATTTATATTATATTACAGGGAGGAGATGTACTTCCATTTTTTGGTTCTTTAAATTAAAGTTTTGTTAGAAAAATACTATTTTACCCATTGTCTACTTTATTGCGGCTTTGATACAGACCATACCAGAGTGATGTATCACTATATATGACAATTTCATCCCTTTCATTTTAAGTAAAAAAACTGTCCATAAAGGTATATACTCATATCTACCCACTTACCTTTGCTTCCATTGATTGGATTCTATTTTAATTTAATTTTTTTAATTGTTTGTGATTTTTAAGATTTATACAAAGACCGGTTTGGATGTTAATTTGTCTGTTTCAAGGGCAACCGGATTGTCTTCAACATTATTGAACATTTATTGGAGATGTACAATTATTTGATGTATCTATTATTCTATATTTCATCATGACTCGATTTTTAATAAAATTTATAAAATTTCAGGTGAAAAAACTAGTGAGAATCCGTAAAAGCAAAATACATGTATTAATTTTGTACAATTATAACATATTCCTAATTCGTTTTAATGATTTGGGAGCATTTTACCCATCCTACATCATCTATGATTTTAGACCATTTTACCCCTCCTCTCCCCGTTTGTATTGAAATGCTTATCTATTGCTAAAGAAAATATGAATAAGAAAAAAACATAATTTTTTTAAAATATAACGCTATATTCAAAAGTACAATGCTTAAATAGTTAATTGTTTTACCTTTATATAAAATACAGATGTGGTACATTGGTTTATAAAAGTACTTATATAACCGATTCATTCTTACCCTTTTTATCCAAACGCAATAAGAAAATAAAAACAGATGATTTACACCCCCTACCAAATTAATCAGACAAACAAAAAAAATACATTTTATTTTATTAGTTCTTGATTTATCTTTAATAACCCATCATTTTATTACCATAATCAACAATACTCTTTAAAAAGCAAAATATATGTATTACTTTTTTACAATTATAATAAATGCCTAATTGATTTTAATGATTTTGGGCCATTTTACCCCTCTTGCCTCATTTTGGACCATTTTACCCCTCCCCCATTTGTATTGAAATGTTTTCGTGTTGTTGTATCTTGTGTGATCCACATTTTCAATCATAATTCATTAAAATGCTTCATAGATTAAGCACTTAACTTTCAATCATATTTTGTCTACCTCTCCACCGGACGGATATGACACTAGTTAAGAAATGAGACTCATTCACAAGATTGATCCACAACAAACTTATGTTTTTGGATTCACATTTTCGTCTCCACATGATATAAAAATAAACATAAATATAATAAAATGAAATAAAATGTGTTAAAAAAATGGAAAAAAAAAGAAGATAAAAAAGGGTTGAACAAAAAACCTGCAAGCCCGGAGGCCAAAATTATCTTTCATAATCCTCTAGTTCTCTCTTTTAATCCTTATATAAAATAATGATACGTGTAATCAATGAATAAAACTTTCAAGTTAAGAGACTAAAAATCCAAAACCGTGGTAATTTATATCGCAAACAACAACGAAGGTCTGATAGCTAGCCGGGGGCGATGCTTTTTATTCCCATGAAAATGCTAATTGCTATCGGAACATATAAAAGACTTCGAATAGATATAATAAAGATAGTAGCTAGATATGAAAAAGAGTAGCTTGAAATAGTAACTTCTCTGAGAGAAAAACAACTACTAATATGCAGTGAAATTTATGGAGTTTTGAGTGTAATCATATTAATCATTTAGCATACTCACACGGTTGCTCACAACGAGTGATAATAGTTTGAACATCGATCAGATATTAAACTCTTTCCCACCATGGAGACTTTCGTTTAATAGTATCTCTCAAATGTGTATAATCCTTAAGATGGATGTTCAAATCTTTTTAAAGATAAATGCAGAGGTGTGTATTATTATTATTATTATTATTATTATTATTATTATTATTATTATTATTATTATTATTATTATTATTATCATTATTATTATTATTATTATTTTTACTTTTTTATTTTATTTTTGCCGATTCACCAAAAAAAGATAGAAATCTCTCTCTCTCTCTCTCTCTCTCTCTCTCTCTCTCTCTCTCTCTCTCTCTCTCTCTCTCTCTCTCTCTCTCTCTCTCTCTCACAGCAATTAAAACTTCAATCCTCCATAATTAATGCATATGCACATCCTCTCAATACCTCTGCATTAACTCCTTTGGCTGTCATCTCTTCAATCCTCCAACCTCTTCCTTTCCTTTCCTTTCCTCCTCTTCTCTCTCTCTCTCTCTCTCTCTCTCTCAGACTTTTTTTCACAATAAATTCGGTGATCGTCATTCCAAACACCGCCTGAAATTACTCTTTTACTCTCTTGAAAGTTTTCCATTGGCATTGTTCTCTTTCCCGAATACCAGATCTTTCACTTTAAGCTTCACAAGCAAAAAAAAAAAACCCAGTAAGTCCATCTTCTCCACTTTTGTAAGCAATAAACTGCTTATTTTTTCTACGATGTTCTACTTTGAAAGAGAAGATACGGTAGGAAATTGAAATGATTATGGAGGTTTTAGTTATATTTTATTTTGAACTGATGTATGTTCTATTTATTTTGGGGCTAAACTTTCTCACATTTGGTCTCATAGGCCAGATGGATTGAAAATTATATTTGTTACACTGTCCTAAAGTAATTAATATAAATTTCCATTTAAAGTCCTATTATAAGCTTTACTTCTTTTGTTAAACGGGCTCTTATATATATATATATATATATATATATATATATATATATATATATATATATATATATATATATATATATAGAGAGAGAGAGAGAGAGAGAGAGAGAGGAGGAACAAGTCCTAAAAGTTCAAAGTCATTAAAAGTTGACTTTTAGAATAAAAATATCGTTTCTTCTGCAATATATTGTTTTTCATTTGTGTTTACGTGTGCAACTAGCTAGTCAAAGTTAATTATTAGCGTATCCCCTTTCTATTCTTTATTTATATTTAATGTTTTGTTGTTTTAACCTGGAAAATTAATGAGTCACAAAAATATTTGTTTCTCCTGAGCTTGGATATATGTAATTTTATATCATGTATTATATATTTTTATTTTCAGGAAATTTCTATTATCAACCTCAAGCTAAGCTCTTCATAAATTCGAGCAGAAGCAGCCTTGAAAGGAGAGATGTTTCAGCCAAACATGTTTGAAAATCATCATCATCATCTTCTTGATATGAGTCATAGAGCCCCAGAAGATAATCTTGTTATGCTTAGAGATGACGATCATGATAGTAAATCCGGGAACGATATCACGGAAGCTGGTTCAGGTGATGATCAAGATCCCAGTCAACATGTCAATAAAAAGAAACGCTACCATCGCCATACTCAACATCAAATCCAGGAAATGGAAGCGTGAGTTATTCTTTTACCCTAATCTTGTATATCTCATTTTTCTTGTTTTCACTCTAATGGGTGTGGCTCGAACACAGTTCATGTATGTAGTAATGGAGCTAGAATATCTAGTACGCTGAGTTTACTAAGTGTATACATAAATTTTTTGAGCGGCTAAAATTCTTTAATTTCGTTTTTTTTTTTTTTTTTTTTTTTTTTTTTTTTACTGAAATCTCAAAAATTATTTCTATCAAATACAAATTTGGAAGGAGTTGAGTGCGATTGTACATGTTATTAATCCTTCCTTGACTCTTTTAGGAGAGAAGTTTGAATTACTGTTTTCGGTTGTTTACCTTTATACTATTTAATATACTTGTAGGTTTTTCAAAGAGTGCCCCCATCCCGATGATAAGCAAAGAAAGGAACTTGGAAGAAGACTATCCTTGGAGCCTTTGCAGGTTAAATTTTGGTTCCAGAACAAACGAACACAAATGAAGGTAAGTAACTTGCACAAAAACATAAATTTGTACTATGAAGGTTCAAAGAAGTTGCTATGTAATTTGTACAACATTTTTTTCTTGGGTTATGTTATACAACTTAATTATGTATGCGACTATAATATGATCCTGGATCTCTTTATTCAGTGTTATCATTTTCAATGAATATCATAAATGACTAGCAAGACATATTTAGTCATTGATATAGTTGGTTGTCTATATTAGAGCTAAGAGGCTCAATATCGCAATTTCCGTATTGTTCAAAGTCGTATAATATGTACACAGGGATAAATCTTGAATGGGTGTATCCGAATCAGATGGTCATATATGGAGAAAAATTATTTATGATCATATATACATCCATAATCCTTTATTAATTTTCGTATTCTGACATCAATTGGTTTAACTATATATAGTTGCAATTTTGTAAACGTATATTAAGTAACGAAACTAATTAGCAGCTGTTTTAACCTTTTTTTCCTCTCCTGTGATGGGTATATACAATATGTTGACTGTATTTGCACTTATACTTGTATACAGACAAGCAACATTATTCTAAATAAGCTAGCTGTTAAAAATGGATATTATACTGTATAAGCTAACTGCTCAAATCTTGGCCTTTTTCATTTTCCTTCTATATTAGGCTCAGCATGAACGCTTTGATAACTCACAGCTGAGGAATGAAAATGAAAAGCTCCAGGCAGAGAACATACGGTACAAGGAAGCCCTCGCAAACGCCACCTGTCCTAAGTGTGGAGGGCCAGCAGCTATTGGTGAAATGTCTTTTGATGAACAACAGTTGAGGATTGAAAATGCTCGTCTACGAGAAGAGGTACGTTAGATTTTACCCTAAGAAATAATATTTTCCTCACAAGTTTAAGTAGGGTAAGTGCTATTTTTATAACATACCAAAGTTATTTCATTGGCTTTTTTAACAGATTGATAGGATATCTGGAATTGCTGCCAAGTATGTTGGCAAGCCAATGCTCTCTTACCCTGATGCATCGTCTCAAGGACCCCCTCGCTCACTTGACTTACCTGTGGCTAGTTTTAGTCCACAACAAGGGATGGTAGGCGAGATGTTTGGAGCAAACGACCTTCTTCGGTCCTTGGCTGGCCCTACTGAGGCTGAGAAACCTATTATCATTGAGCTAGCTGTTACAGCCATGGAGGAACTAGTTAGAATGGCTGAGGTTTGCGAGCCCTTGTGGGTTCCAACCTCAAATAACTCTCATGAGATTTTAAGCGAAGATGAGTATCTGCGGTCATTTCCTAGAGGCATTGGACCGAAACTGATGGGATTCAAATCTGAAGCTTCAAGAGAATCGATGGTCGTCATCATGAATCATATGACTGTTGTGGAAATTCTAATGGATGTGGTATATATATATATATATTTACTAAACATGCTATCTTTTTGTGGTAACTTTATTATAGTTATGAAGCACTTCCCTAATCTAACCTTGATTTTTCAGCATCAATGGTCAAATGTGTTTTGTGGCATTGTTTCAAGAGCAATGACTTTAGAAGTGCTTTCAACCGGGGTGGCAGGCAATTATAATGGAGCTCTTCAAGTGGTAAGAAATCAGTCATCCAATGTCTTGTGAATCCACTGCAATAATTCAATTGATTTTAAATATTTTTGGGTATATTATATTTGAAATTAAAAAAGTTGTGAAGTACATGCTTCACAATCACTTTCGAATCTTAGACTTAAAAGTGCAGACCGATTAATCAAATTGATCGGTACATGTAACTACAAGAAATATCACCAATTCCGACGAAGCATAAAAGTGACGTCTGCTCTTCCGATCCACTCATCTTTTGAGGATTAGGGTTGGGGGTTTAGGTTTAGGGTTTAGGGTCATAAAAGATAAAGTAATCTTTAGGAATCTTGTAATCCCTATATCAGCCCTTAAATGTTGGATTTTCTAGATTTAAGCCAGAGTACACCATCATTCAGGGCGGTTGGAGACAGTTATGCAAGAATTACACTAAAGTGGAAAAGTAGGAGGTATTGTTTTACTTTTGTATTTAGGACGGCGTGGTTGAAGATGGCCGATAGGACCGTTATCTCATCGTCATTGAAAACTGTTTTCATAATCAATTGATTTTTGAAATGGTTACAAGGTGGTAAACCATTCTTTATGTCGACACATAAGGTAAGTATAATCACAATCAAGAACCCATATTAATCATCAATGTCGGTATATCCAACAATAACAACAAAAACCTCTTATTTGGAACTTCATAGGCTTAGTTTGTAGAATTGTCATCTTTACCCTTGAATCTATTTAAGTCTCACCCCTTTTATTTATAATATTTGCATGTCTGGTCCATCAAAAAGTACAATTTGTTTCATATTTTTTCTTAGCATACAAGATTTCATAAACCTGACTGAGAGTGCGGGTAAAAACTATAAAGTATGGTGTCTCTGAAATTGGAATATGAACCTAATGAAATAACATAAGCAAACCCAAATGTTCCTCATTATACGTCACTTCCATCATTGCCACATCAAAAATTTTCTCTTTGAAATCAAAAAATATGAATGATAAGGTTTCATTCATCTTGTAGTTTGTATAGAAACAACTTGTGCTTTAAATGCATTTTCATCGGTAAGATTTTTTTTTCATCCATATGGATTATAGTTTTAGCCAAAGAGCAGTTTCAATCTTCTCCTTTAGAACTTCTAGCTTGTTGAATGTTTGGAGAATGAAGTTGCATTTGAAGTAGGTCTTTATAATCTTTCTCCTTATTTTTCTTAATCTAGTATGATTTGAATTTTCGCTTTAAAAAGAATTCAATGAATCATCATAATTTGCTTAAGCCACTAATGCTCTAATCTTAGCTACCCATAAAGAAAAACTGGTATCACAATCTAATAGTGGTAGATCATATTTCATTGAAGTCGATTGCTCAATATCACCTTAAAAGGTATAGGAGACAACTAATTTGAAAGTATGCATGTTTAGAGAAAAACGACAAACCTTGCGTCGGTGTAGGATAAATTGACAAAACCTTTGCATGTTTAAGAAAGAAATCAAATGAAGGAAACCAATGTAGGTTTAGAAAATTAATATTAACTTGATTTAACACATTTTAAGAATTTGCCTATGATAACGCACTCATTTTCTATCCCTCAACCTCAACCCAGAATTTCAAGATCACCCTCGTCCTCCTTGTTTCCTGTTAACCCTTGTTGGCCCTAAATTCTCCCTTCTTTACCATATTTTTCACTCATTTAGTTTGTTTAACCTTACCTAATACACTAAATTCTCGATTTAACCTTCTTTACCCTTTTTATTCTTGGCAAACAGAAAATTGATCATCTCCTGCTTCCATTCGTTGAAGTTGTTATCATTCAACACATCATTAACCTGCATCTGTTTAGGGTAATTTGACGGATGAATGTAGTATGGGGAATTGACATGAATAGAGTTAGCATCGATGGGTTCTTTAGTCTTCTTGCCCCCCCTCCCCCCATTGCCCTTTTCTCCTGTCATGGCGGCTTCCAATCTAGGTTTTCTGCAACGGATCAGGCTCTGATACCATAAAGAAACTGAGAAACAAACATTCTATTCCATTAATAATTAATTTTTATCGTACAAGCAGAGATCCTATATATATATATAGGAGCAGATAAAATTAGCTAGAAATTTGGCTAAAGATAAACTAAACAATACGTAGTTATCTGAATGGAATATTCTAGATGTGTAAAATAGTTCCATTATACTTAAGGAAGTATTTTTCACATATGTTTAGTATGAAAAAGATTATTGTATCTGCACATTAAGATAAATAGTCGTGAAATGAAGTGTAGTATACATGTATTTGTTGTAGTGAGCTATACAATGAAGTGTAGTATACATGTGTTTTTCACATATGTTTAGTATGAAAAAGATTATTGTATCTGCACATTAAGATAAATAGTGGTGAAATGAAGTGTAGTATACATGTATTTGTTGTAGTGAGCTATACAATGAAACCCCAATTGTATTTATTTATATATTGTTCTAAACAGTTTGTTTTTTCAGATGACAGCTGAATATCAGATTCCTTCACCACTCGTTCCAACACGAGAAAACTATTTCGTTCGGTATTGTAAACAACATGGTGATGGGACGTGGGCGGTTGTTGATGTATCCATGGATAATATGGGCTCATCGTCAATTTCAAGATGTAGGAGAAGGCCCTCTGGCTGCTTGATTCAAGAACTTCCTAATGGTTACTCAAAGGTACACTCTCTAGCTTCAATCAATGTATTATTTTAGCTTTGATGAAGTAAACGGATTTCACAAATCATGTCTGGTTTTTGTTTTCCAGGTCACTTGGATTGAACATGTTGAAGTTGATAATGGGGACGTTCATGATATCTATAAGGTACTAGTAAACTCTGGTCTTGCATTTGGTGCAAAAAGATGGGTAGCCACTTTAGATAGACAAAGTGAACGACTTGCAAGTGCAATGGCTAGCAATATTCCTGCAGGAGATGTCGGAGGCAAGTGTCCTAGTTCACAATCATATCTTTCCTAGTATCCGATTAAAGACGTTTTCTAGTATCATTTAATAAAATCAATTAATGATTATCCTATTCATTCTTTTTATAGTTATAACGTCTCCAGAAGGGCGAAAGAGTATGTTGAAGTTAGCAGAAAGAATGGTGTTGAGCTTCTGTAGTGGGGTTGGTGCTTCGACTGCTCACACATGGACAAGTTTATCTGGTAGTGGAGGAGATGATGTGCGTGTAATGACCCGAAAGAGTGTAGATGATCCAGGCAGGCCTTCTGGTATTGTGCTAAGTGCTGCAACTTCATTTTGGTTACCAGTTCACCCAAAACATGTTTTCAATTTTCTCCGCGATGAGAATTCTAGGAGTGAGGTAATTATGCAACTAGTCTTTAATATAAAACCTTATATATTCATATGGAATTAGCTTTTTAATTCTATTTTTATTCATCCAGTGGGACATACTTTCAAATTGTGGGCATGTTGAAGAAATCGCACACATTGCCAATGGTCGTGATCCAGGAAATTGTGTTTCCCTTCTGCGTGTTAATGTAAGCTCTAGAAATAAATATAACACACTTAGTTCATCCAATATAAACAGCTAGACAACTATATATATATATATATATATATATATATATATATATATATATATATATGTGGGTGTTTGTGTGTGTGTGTGTCTATATATATATATATATATATATATATATATATATATATATATATATATATATATATATATACATATAGAACTAAATTCAAATGTGGATGAAAGTCTATTGTGCGGATGTGTGGACAGTGTTATTCTGTGAGAATGACAAAGAAAATATATTGTTTTATAATATGAATATGTTTAATCTTACATAACTATTGTCATTATCGCACATTCTTACCAATTAAATCGTCTATAAGGTTATTATAGACTTATTATTATTATTATTATCATTCTGTTATAATGTTGTCATAATTTTTATTGGGTCGTATTTTATCAGAATGAAAATGAGTGAAAAACGATTTGTGAAACAAAAAATGAATAAGAATTAGTAACAATGCATGAAAATAATGACATTTTTTTTGTAAGGTTGAACGTATTCGCATTATTAAACAACTTATTCTGTTAGTAATTCTCATAGAATCGCACTGTCCACACGTCCACACAATAATTGTCCATCCACATTATAACCTAGCCCTATATATATATATATATATATATATATATATATATATATATATATATATATATATATATATATATATGAAACTTTATAAATAAACATCTTAATCGCTTGCCAATTTATTAATCGGATAACTTTCAACTTGTTTACATTGTAGAGTGCCAATTCAAGTCAGAGCAACATGCTCATCCTACAAGAGAGTTCAACTGATTCTACAGGTTCATATGTTATATATGCACCAGTAGATATTGGTGCAATGAATGTTGCATTAAATGGAGGTGATCCAGATTATGTTGCATTGCTTCCATCTGGTTTTGCCATACTTCCTGATGGACCAGTACATTATGAAGGAGGAGTTCTTATTGGTGGAAGTGGTGGATCATTACTCACCATCGCATTCCAGATTTTAGTAGATTCGGTTCCTACATCCAAACTGTCACTAGGATCGGTGGCAACAGTTAATAGTCTTATTAAGTGCACGGTTGAAAGGATCAAAGATGCAGTAGCTTCTAATATGAGTAAAGCAATGGGGATTTTATAAGGTAAAACAGCCATCAACCCGAATAGTGTACTAGTGGTGGTGGTGGTGGTGAGTTCCACTTATGTGGCAACTCCTACGCCTGTTGTATACCTATCAGTCTCATACTAATTGGGGTTATAACATTTTTTTTGATTATATCTCTGCATTTATGTACCTTGCAGTGGTGTAACGGAAAGGGGAAAAACATCTTGGCGGGCGATAATTTCTCTTTTATCTTTAGGAATAGATGGAAGAAGTCAAGAACGAACCTGAACGATCCTCCCTTTAGAATTTTTCAAGCTTTATCAAGGTTCGGGTATTGACTTTTCATATCTTGAAGATTATAGAGTAAAATTAGACCTTGTCGAGTAAATACTAGTTAAAACTTTCAAACCTTTTTTTTTCTCTTGGGTTTCATTAGAGATTTTCAGTCTTTTGTGTTTTTTGGGTTAGAATTAAATTGGTAACCTGCATCAAGATACAGGCAACAACTCTTACTGCCGGATTAGCAGTTTTGTCCAATGTTTATTTATTCCTTGGTTTGATACTTATGTTGGGAAATAAATTTCATGTTTTCACTTTATATATATATATATATATATATATATATATATATATATATATATATATATATATATATATATATATATATATATATACTAGCCGTTTACCCGCGCAAAGCGTCGGGCGGCAAAGAGTTTCTTTCGGAAGATAGTTTTATCAGTGATAATTAGTTTCATTTAGACGTGAGCTATTTATTACGGCCATTTGGTAGACTATTTGGTGTCGAATAGTTCATTTCAACGGATAGCTTCTTGCTATGTGCATAATCATACAATACGACAGAAGTAGTTCAGCATCTTCATCTTTTGTCTCCATGCGTTTCTTCGTATTTGCATTTCCATGCAACTGTGATGCCTCCTTCACAATGTAATATTGGGGTGGAAACTCTTCTCCCTTGAAATAATTATCCAACATATCCTTCACTCCAGCAACATATCTCAACTGCAAAAAAAGATATATAAAAACTGTTGATGATTTGTTATATAATATAATATTTTTTTTATGAATTGAAAAAGGGGAAAAGGAAAAAAAGTAAGTTATTGCATAAATGATTGTGTAAAAGTAAGATATAAAAACGTTCTGAAATAATTCACATAGGTATATTAAACAACTTTAAAAAAAATATTAAAAAAGTAAGTTGTTACATAAAGGACTATGTAAAATATCCGATTAATTTATGTCTCCAAAATATAAATTTACAAATTTCTCAACCATATCCGTAATATAAAATAACTAAACATTAAACTTTTATATAAAGAAACTTAATCAATAGAAATAATCAACATTATCAAAAATGATAAGAATTATCAATAATAATAGAGGCAATTATCAACAACATTGTCACTAAATTTACTTATTTGAAAGCTTAATATTTATTAATTAAACCATGACCAAGGTCCAACAAAAAAAAGATCTTTGTGTATAGAACTATTTAAACAACTCTTATTATCAAATGTAGCCTTTTGTGGTGTAGCATTACAAAAGTTTAACCAATAGACAATATAATGAATCAGTATACTTATACATGCAACATATATGATTCTGGTTGACTGACAATTTTAATGAATAGTATAAATAAATTCAGGAAAAGTAGAATTGATCATCAGGCTTGGATTTCTAAAGAAAATTATTGGATCAATATCCTACTAATATTATATAACACAACTGAGTAGAGAGATGAAATATAACTCAAATTCTTGAAACTCCCGAGTTGTTAAAAAAACAACTACAGTCTGATGTGAAAAAGAAAACAAATAAGAGTTCTTCTCATCTCTTTTGAAAAGCGACCCAAAAACAAAGTAGAAAAAAAAAATCCGTAGCAATCTTTTATTTGGCTTTGTTCAGATAAGAGTGGTCTTAATTCTTCAAGATTCAAAGATATTTAATTTAACAGGTAATGTTTTGCGATCTTAAATATAGAAAAAAAAAATCTAATAACAGATTAAAGCCTCCCAAACTGTAATATTAAGTTATATAGACTTCTAGCCAGCTATTTGTTCATCTTGAACAACAACAAGAGGTACATTTGATTTTCAAGATCAAAAGAACTGATTAACAGCTTCAAATTTGGAGTTAATGCTTCAAACATTTCAAGAAAATTTGATAGCTACCTAGCCTACCTTAAATCTTATAAGAAATCACTAAAAATTTAAGAATCCACTTTTAAAGTGGATACATCTACTATATTAGCAATTTGCACAAAACAAAAGAGAGGTATAGTTTGACTTTTGATATCAAAAGAACTAACTTATAACTTGAATTTGGAAATAATTCAACTTTTCGAAAAAAAATCAGATAGCTACCATAAACTTTGTAACATACACAAAAAATTGGAAATCTTATGGTGTCAAAAATGAGTAATAAATTCCATTTCAAGTTCAAAGTTCCAAAATTAGGTCGTTGACCTTAATGTATGACAAGACTGGAATAGACAGCACTGGACTTGACAAACTTTCTAGGCTACTCTTGATGATGAGATTGATAAGGACATTCATGTCATTTTTCACAAAAGAGAGAAGGGCATAATGGTCAGATGGTGTTTTTGGAACATATAAAGTAGGTAATCCATTCAGTTGGAATATTAATGAAAAATATAAAATATAACACAGAAAGAGGAAAATCAATCTAAATGACCTGCTTAGACTCATCTTCGGAAGTGGTATTAGTTCTGCCATGTTTATCCATGGTCTACACTTAATATACTTTCTTACATCTTCATCATCAATGTAGTTAACCCCTGGTTCATTCTTTGTTGTTTGTGAACTATTGTCTACTCTTTTTAGGGAAAAAGCTATAAGTGACTCAAAACCTGGTGGAATAGATGGAATTTCCATGTTCTCCTCTTTAACATGATGCCTGATGAGTTCTGTCCCCATCATGAATTGGTTTGCTCTTGGGACTCTTATTTCAGCTTTTTTGATATTTAAAACATGCTATCTGCATCAGCATTATCAGTAATAAGAAACACAACATGTGGTTTTATGCAGTTAAGCATTTATAATCATCAACAACACATAAGCAAGGGCGGTCCTACAATGGGGATAGTGGGGGTAGCTGCCCCCACAACAAAAAAAAAAAAAAAATTAAAAAATTGGTTTTTTTCCAAAAAAATATTTTTTTTAACCATTCAAAATTATATATTTTGAACCTTCAAAAAAATTTGCCCCCATAAAAAGTTCAATTTTTTTCCCCCCACATCGAAAAAATTTTGGGTCCGCCCCTGCACATAAGCATGTTCTATCAGCAACTTATGAAGCTATTTGAAACCTGAAAGCAGTCTTCAAAACTCAATAATATAGGATCAATATAACTGAGACAAATATGTGATTATGAACAACTAAAATTCTAGCGCACTTGCATGTTCATAATCTCAAAAGTTTTTGCATCTACCTAATGCAGCTCAGTTCCAGATGTTGAAGATAGCTTTTAAAGCCTAATGACAGAATAAGCGAAAGACAAGTAGATTTAATATTCACAAACAACTAATCAGTTCAAAAACATATTAGATTGAGATCAACAGCACATCCCAGTCGGCAAGCATCAATCGATGAAATTAGGGTTACAAAACTATATAACGAATTTGCAATTAAAATAATATAGACTTGAACAGGTCTAAATCCGTAGGTTTGCTAGAAAAAAATGTGCATCAATAAAATAACCACATAAGGTTTACATCCAAGAAATCCCTAGATTGGAACAAAGTTAGGGAGCATCTGTGTTAATAAATGCGCTAAAAATAGAGAAAAACACAATCATATCAGCATATAATTGTTGCTTACATTGGAAAATATGATTTTATTTTCATACCTATAGAAGAGTTGATTATAACCTAGTGTATGTTTCGTTTCGTATGACATGGCAAAATCAAAGTATCCAAATGGGAAATTGAGCAGGGTTTTCTTTGGATCTTAGTACCCGGGGTAGAAGTAAACGGAAAATCTGTCCACCAAGATAATTCCAGGCCTGGAGCATAAAGCCTTTATGATGGCAATCGAGAGAGAGAGAGAGAGAGAGAGGCGAGAGAGATCACTGCATCTTTGGTGGGGAAGTCGGCCGACGTTGGTGGAGATCAATGAATATTTGGTGGAGACGATGAGAAATGGTTTGATGGCGGCTGTGTTTAGGAGACGAGGGTCCGTGTAGTGTGTAGTATAATGTATATGATCAGTGTAGTGTAGTGTAACTATGCTTAATATTATTGTACATAAGGTAATATATGTTGTACCTCTTAATTTTCAAGAAATAGGCAATATCCTTAATAATATAGTAAAGATATACATATATATATATACATATATATATATATATATATATATATATATATATATATATATATATATATATATATATATATATATATATATATATATATATATGATTTTTAATTTTGTAAGCTTAAAAGTTGTGGGGCCTTGAATTGACTTCAATAATTGGTGCCACATAGGGTAGGATGCTTCCAACAGTTGTCATTTGATGCCTATATTATGGTGTGGTGCCATACAATGCCTCCAATATTTTGAATTTTTTTTAAAACAAATATTTCATAGAATGTTAAATCATTAAAATTACGAAATTCAACAGATTTAAAGACAAATTATGATTAAAATGTTAAAAATAGACAAACCTTTCCAATAAAGTTGATTTGCAATGTTTCTTCATCTTCGAATCCTTGCTCCATTTCCCTATTCCGTTTTTAACCATCACAAGCAATGTCAATTGGAATTTTTTTAGATGTTTAATACAAAATAAAGTAGAGTCCATAATTAAAACAATATGTAATGAAATGCTTAGTTGGATTCCATATTCTTATTTGAACAAAACCAGTAGGTTTTCTATTGGTTTAAAGAAAAACAGGGTAATTGTACCTACCAAACATAAACCCAATGTCACAAATCAGAATAGCTATATATATATATATATATATATATATATATATATATATATATATATATATATATATATATATAATCAAACACTCATTGTCGCATGAACCAAAAGCAACATCCATCCAAACAAAATATAAACACCCAAGGGCAAAACAGTCTAGAACCAATGGAAACAGTGGAATACTCAGGAAATTAGGAATAAAAAAAGAACTCAATAGTGAAATTAGAATCATAGCTGCATAAAATCACACCTAAGTTCTAAAGGAGACAGTATACTCTAGGGGAAACACCCAAATGCAATGAACTTGGCGTCAGAAATTCTAACAACATATTGATGTCTAAGAAACCTGCAATTCAACCAAAAAACTATAAAGTTGTGTAATAATTACTAAATTGAAGCTAAATTGACTTTTACAAAAAATAAATAAATAAATCAACCAAGCTAACCCACTCCTATTAAAAATTCAACATTTCCATATTCACAAACTTATCCAATGTAACAGACCTTACAAAATAAAGCAGTAAACCTAATAATTAGTTGAATTGTTTGAAACTTCATTCTAATCTAACAATTTAGCAAATTTACCAAGTACTAAAACCCTTTCTTTTT